ACCAGATCACAAAGAGTCCTGAAGGCCACACTAAGGAGTTTAGAATTCATTCCTTAGGAAATAAAGAGTTGTGTGAAATGTGCAAACTTTGGCATTAGACTTGTCTTGTCTTAGCTCACTTCTTAGCTATGTAGTTTTGAGCAAGCCACTTGATCTCTTTAAACCTCAGTTTGCTCTTTTATCTAATAGAGAGGCTAATACTAACTTACGTACCAAGCTTCGTACCTTGAAAATAGGAGATGCTTGACATATCAAAGTTATTATTGGTTAACTACCGAAGGACTTTAATTAGACTAGTGAGTATAATCTTACTTGACAGCACTATGTAGACTAGATTAGAGGCTGGGAGAACAGCCATGAGAAAATTACAGTAGTCTAGGAAAGAGGTAGTGGAGTCACAGGAATACAAAAAATTTTTAAAGTAGAAGGTTCAAATAAGAGGGTTAGAAAATATTTTAGGATAGAATATAATGAAGCACTTTTTAGATACAGAAAAGCCATTATAGAAGACAGAATGAAGATGTACATGAGAGGAAAACACCTACAAACTAAATTCTGGAGGAGGTGAGTAGGGATGAGATATTGAATTCAAGGGAAATAGTACTCTGCTTTTCTTATCTGTTTGTATACTGTGATACAGAATGCATTTTTGTAGATATAAATAATTTGGAGGTTAAGATAAGACATAAAGATTAAAAGATAATATATTAGAAAGAAAGAGAAATACTTACTCACAGAAAGAAGAGAGTAAGAAAATGCCAAATGAGGCTAAATGGACATTTTAAGATTAAAAAAGTGGAAAAAACACAACTTCCCACTCAAGCAGAATGTGAGGTCACCTGCAGGAAATGACATAGGTTTTATATATATGACTAGAAGAGTATGGAGAATGTGGGAATAGATTAGTCTAGATCAAGATTTCTTAGATTTCATTTAACAGATCATTCTTTTTCGGGAGCATGGAGTCTGTCCTGTTCATTGCGGAACATTTAGCAACATCCTTGACCTCTACCTATTAGATACCAGGACCCTTTCCCCTAGTTTTTTGTTTGTTTTTTGAGATGGAGTCTTGCCCAGTCGCCCAGAATGGAGTGCAATGGCGCGATCCTGGCTCACTGCAACCTCCGCCTCCTGGGTTCAAGCGATTCTCCTGCTTCAGTCTCCCAAGTAGCTGGGATTACAGGCACCTGCCACCATGTCCAGCTAATTTTTATATTTTTAGTACAGATGGGGTTTTACCATGTTGGCCAGGCTGGTCTTGAACTCCTGACCTCGTGATCTGCCCACCTCAGCCTCCCAAAGTGCTGGGATTACAGGCGTGAGCCTTGTTGCTCCAAAAGCTTAGGCATCCATCGCAGAGCATCTGGTGTGTTGGCGGGCTGTTGAAGGTTGACACACTGGGTGTAGAAGACTCCACCACCATAGGTGGAAGGTGGGGTCTTAAGATGGGAATTGAGGCCAGAGAAATATCTTCCAGTTGGGGGAGTACATGATAACCCAGGTCCCCCAAGGTTGTTGCTCAGTTTTCTATAATGCTGGACCAGCTTTAGTTCCATTGGATGGAGCTCTGCTCACCCCAAGCTAGGGGCGAAGGGCCTGGCAGGTGAAGGTCACACCTGAGTAGCAGGAGCAGGTGAGGGCTGCATAGCCAGGCTGGCTTTCCCCCAGTTTTGACCAACAAAAACTTCTTCAGATATGCCCAAATGTCCCCATGAGGGACAAAGTCACCTCCAAATGAGAACCACTGGTCTAGATATTGTTAGAATACGATAAGACCATTTAGAAATAAACAGATAGGGCTGGGTGCAGTGGCTCATGCCTGTAATTCCAACACTTTGGGAGGCTGGAGCAGGTGGATCACCTGAGGTCAGGAGTTTGAGATCAACGTGGCCAACACAGTGAAACCCTTTCTCTAGTAAAAATACAAAATTAGCCAGGCATGTTGGCATGTGCCTGTAATCCCAGCACTTTGGGAGGCCGAGGCAGGTGGATCACCAACCAGGTCAGCAGTTTGAGACCAGCCTGGCCGATACAGTGACACTCATCTCTACTAAAAATACAAAAATTAGCCGGGTGTGGTGGCACGCGCCTGTAATCCCAGCTACTCAGGAGGCTGAGGCAGGAGAATCTCTTGAACCTGGGAGACAGAGGGTTGCAGTAAGCCAAGATCGCGCCGCTGCAATTCAGCCTGTGTGACAGAGTGAGACTCTTGTCTCTAAATAAATAAATAAATAGATAGATAGATAGATAGATAGATAGATAATATCTTGTTTGAGACTCTATTCCTCACACCTAGAATATTGCTGGCATACATCAACACACGCTCTCTATACCAAATGAATGGAAATAATGATTGACAACTGGCATTGAAAGTCTAGCTAAAGTTGCACAGCATATATTTGTAGTATAACTAATGAGCCTGATTTTGTGGTTTTGCTATTTTCTTCCAAAATGATAAAGAGCCCAGGCAGAGAACAAGTGAAATAATCTAGGAAGCCAGAAACCAAAGAAGACGGGTACTTAAAGAATATAGTCAATAGTCTATTAAATGATAAATAGATGGTCAGTAGATGGTCATTAACGTTACTGTTTCTAGCTATTATTCTTTCCTGTAAGAAACAACACAAGTTATCTTTCTCCTGAAGTTGTACATACTAAGCACACATAGTAGGTATTCAAAAATCATTTGTTAAATTAGCTTATATTCTGAGATACATGATTAAGTTCAAATTAAATGAGAATTGCTGTTTACAAAATATTTTTATTTATGGGAAAGGTCTACTTGCAGCTTTTCATAAAATGATTTTTCTTGCCTATGAAATTATTATTAATGTAACATTCTTCTCCCCAAGTTTAGCCCAATGCCACATCTCCTTCATTTTGTTTGTTTGTTGTTTTTGAGATGGAGTCTCACTCTGTTGCCAGGCTGGAGTGCAGTGGTGCGATCTCGGCCACTGCAATCTCTGCCTCCCAGATTCAAGCGATCCCCTGCCTCAGCCTCCCGAGTAGCTGGGACTATAGGCGTGCACCACCACCCCTGGCTATTTTTTTTCTTTTTGTATTTTAGTAGAGCCAGGGTTTCACCATATTGGCCAGGATGGCCTCAATCTCCTGACTTCATGATCCACCATAAGACATAAAAGCAATCAAAGATATCTCAAACAACATTAAGCCTTATTTTGGTGAGAGAAAGAAATAATAGTTTTTCCACATTTTATAAGGATAATGTTTGTTACCCTGGATATTTGAGACATCTATTATAACTTATTAAAGTTCAAATTTGTAAGTTTAGACCTTTGGCTGTTATTTGTTTTGCAAGTTACAACTTCCATTAAGTTCACAGTCTGCTACATTGTGACTTTTGTGGTCTAAACAGCTAGGCTTCCCATTAGTGTGGTTAATCTGGTAAAATATCTAAATGAGTTATCTAATCAATTTTTTTGCATCTCTATAACTTATTTGTTGAAATAATACAGCACTATTTCCTTTTTTAAACTTCCATACCCTCATGACATTAATTTTTTCAAGCAATAATATTTATGCAAATGGTTTCTTTTCCCTATTACATTGAAAGAGTAGAATCAGTTTGCCCTCCCCAACTAGCATATTCACTTGCTCATAATATATGCTTAAAAATAACGGATGGATAAATCAATAAGTAAACAGTTATACCTCACAGGGTAGAAGTCAGAAGACCTGAGTTCTAGATCTGCCTATGTAATTCTGGGCAAACTGCTTAACTTCACTGGACCATATAATGTGCAAGGTTTTAGGGTAAATATTACCTAGGGAAATGTGAAAGCATGGGATTAGTACTTCTACTTTTCCCATGGAAATGGTCATCCAATTACCACTTTTTCTTCTGGGTTACAAAGTGAAGTCTAAGCATGGATAAAGTTTATGGCAAGAATCTTGGCTTACCTGAATTTTTCAATGTGTGTAAAAGATTTAATAAGCATATGATATGTGAAATTGTTCATAATCAGAAAAATGTTGAGGGGTTGAACATATGGAACAAAGTGATAGTGTGTACAGAGACAAATACTGCCAAAATAGGCTAGAATAATATTTGTCTTCTTATATTTGAAAAGAGGTAATCTACATGAATATGAAATGTTAGGTTTCCTTTCCATACTTGCAAAAATTTCTTTACATGCTGTTGCTACCATAGCTCTTTTCCAGCAGTAATTATCCAGCTTAATTAGACTGAATATGTTCTATTAAAATGTTTGCTCTCAGTCTATTGGTGCAAAACAGTCCCTTAATGGTGATCAAAAGATAGTATGCGAGGTTACACCTATAAATTAGCAGCCAGAAGACAATAAATTACTTATGCAACATATTTGTGCAATACTTTTTATCCCATATCCAGATTTTCTGCATGATCTGGTTTGAGCTAATCTGTAATTCTGTCTCAAGCTGATTATCTGCTATATTCACAGCATGTTTACTTTTGCACAGGCATGTATATGTGTGTGTGTAATATTTCATACACGATAGCTCCTACAAAAACACTGAAAACCTACATTTAGTAGGAAGTACAAGAAAATTGATTGTGCTAGTTACATAATTAAGACATGATCCATGGCCATGATATCAAGAAGACTGAAGTCTGATGAGGAAGGCAGACATGAACAAAACAATTATAATGCAAAACATGAAAAGGATACTAACAAAAATTGTAGGAATAACAAAAGGTAACCACTAATTCTCACTAAAAGTGCCAGTGAGGGCCAGGCGCGGTGGCTCACGCCTATAATCCCAGCACTTTGGGAGGCCGAGGCGGGTGGATCACGAGGTCAAGAGATCGAGACCATCCTGGTCAATATGTTGAAACCCCGTCTCTACTAAAAATACAAAAATTAGCTGGGCATGGTGGCGCATGCCTGTAGTCCCAGCTACTCGGGAGGCTGAGGCAGGAGAATTGCTTGAACCCAGGAGGCGGAGGTTGCGGTGAGCCGAGATCATGCCTCTGCACTCCAGTGTGGGTAACAAAAGCAAAACTCCATCTCAAAAAAAAAAAGTGCCAGTGGGAGGAGGAAATATATTAAATTAAAATTTATAGAATAAGTAGGTTTTCAACATGTGATCAGAGTACGAAATAAATTAGCAGGAACAAAGACTTAGAAGTGGGAGAATCTGAGAGATATTCAGAGAATGGCCAATGGTTCAGGATTCCACAATAAATGGGATTGACTGCAAGTTGTTCCATACTAAGGATTTCAGATTTTATGCTGGAGGTGACAGTTGAACGAATTTAAGCAGGGAAGTGGTATTCTCAGTTAACTGTTTTAGAAATATCATCCTGGCAGCAGTGTTTAGAATCACCTAAAGAGAAGAAAAATAAGATCAACTCAGACAAGGATTTATGAGCTTCTTGGAGGCAAAGGTTTGTTTTCCTTATTTTTTGCATCATCAGTGCCTAGTATTGTGCCTGGCACAAAGTATGATCTCAATAAACATTAAATGTTATTACTATAGCCTTAACAGCACAGCGTGTGAGTACAATAATGAAGTTTGATATTATTACAAGAAATTTCTGTAAATGTGTGGAACTGGTCTGGACAGTAGAGGGATTATTTTCTTCCTTCTCATCCTCAGCTTAGTTTGTATTCAAGTGTGTGTCTAAACTTGTTGTATTTACGTTTAGGTTCAAAATAACAATGGTGCAAATGATGAATTAAAATTTATAGGGAAAAGCAATTGTTCTAAGATTCTCATCATATGTAAAATTTTAGAAATAATGATGCAGAAACACTATCTATGAAGAAAAAAACAGACGATTTGGATATGATAAAATTCTCTGTAAATATCGAAAGAAAGCTATCTTTAGAAATTCATCAAGATAAGCAGGGGGAAAACTCTTACAAAACATGGATGACTCAAAAGCAAATATTCCTTTTAGACAGTGTGTGCTCTCATTCAGAGTTTGGGCTCTGCAGCCAGACTGCCTGGATTTGCAACTCTGTCTTATACTTCCAAGCTCATCTTGGGTAAGAGACTTAAGTGGTCAATGCACCAGTTTTCTCTTCTGTAAACTGGAGTTTGTAATATTTGTAAACTTATCTAGTTTATGAGTTGTTGCAAAGTGTTTAGAACAGTGCTTGGTATATAATAAGTACTAAATAAAATTTAGATATTCTCTTATTTTCTTTGTTTGAGACAGAATCTTACTCTGTCGCTCAGGCTGGAGCACAGTGGTGTGATCTCACTCACTGAAACCTCCACCTCCCGAGTTCAAGCAATTCTCTTGCCTCAGCCTCCTAAGTAGCTGGGGTTATGGGTGCGTGCCACCACCCCCGGCTAATTTTTTTTTTTTTTCCGAGATGGAATCTCACTCTGTCACCCAGGCTGTAGTGCAATGGCGTGATCTCGGCTTACTGTAACCTCTGCCTCCCAGTTTCAAGCTATTCTCCTGCCTTGGCCTCCCAAGTAGCTGGGATTATAGGTGCCCACCACCACATCCAGCTAATTTTTTGCATTTTTAGTAGAGACAGGGTTTCGCCCTGTTGGCCAGGCTGGTCTTGAACTCCTGACCTCAGGCGATCGTCCCACCTTGGCCTCCCAAAGTGTTGAGATTACAGGCGTGAGCCACAGTGCCCAGCCTGGCAGCTTATTTTTAAGTTAGTATTCTGAATGCGACAGAGATTGCTGTGTATTTCCCAATATCTGCTTTTTGCTTATAGTAATAGAATCTAATTATAACTATGCAAATAACTGTCCAGCATGAACACTGCATCTTCCAGCCTTTACTGCAGCTAAATGTGACCATGTGACTGGGGCCTGGCAAATGAAATGTAAGCAGAAGAGTCAAGTGGCAGCTTACGGAAAACTTTCTTAATAGACAATTAGACATCTACTAAAGCTCAAAATTTTCAAGTATGAAATTGCTAAGGGTTGTTGAGATATAGAGCAGTAGAGAGTGTCAGACATTACTGATGGATGTGTGAATTGGTATAATCACTTTGGAAAACAGTTTGGTGTTAGTCAATAAATGTGAAGATATGTATGCTCAATAATCCAGAAATTTTTCCTAAATCTATATTCTAGAGAAGCATATATGTATATTAGGATACATATATAAGGATATTGTAGCAGCATTCTTTGTAATAGACAAAAATTATAACTCAAAGGTCCATCAACAGTTTAATGAATAAACTGAAGTATGTTAATACAATAGGATACTATTGTATCCTATTTAATTATCATATATAATTGAAATCATCGTATATAATACATTGAATGAAATTGATGAAACTGAATCATCATATACTATACGACATCCATTGAATAGAAGAAGCAAGAACCAAAGTAACACAAACACCAAGATTCAAAAATAGGCAAACTATGTCATCTAGAAAGGCATACTTGGGTGAAACACTTTAAAGAAAAGCAAGGCAATGATTACCACAAAATCAGAATTATAGTAATCTCTAGGTCTAGAGGGAGACTTCCTCTAGGGAGAGTTGTGATTAGAAAGGAAAAGTGGGCTTCTGAAATTCCAATGCTGTTACTTCACTTGAGGGGAGGCTCCACTGATGTTCCCTTAAAATAATTTTTATAACTATACATTGTGGTATAGTTTCTATGTAAACATTATATTTCTATGTGAACATTACTTTTCTATGTGAACATTATATTTTACAATTTAAATTATATCTATATAAAGTATATATATATAAAGAGACATTGTGCCTTTGGCCTTTGTTCCTTTTCAGTCCTTCCTCCATCCTGCTTCCTGAAACAGATACTGCCACCAGAGACCATGAAAACAAGGACCACTACACAGAAATATCAGAAAAATGAGCTGGTAGGAAGGTAAGTCCCAGAGGACTTAGTGGGGCACAGTTACCATATCAGTTCTTAACCTTTGTACCTCTTGACTTCATTTACATGATAGAGAAATATATTTAATATTATTTTGGAATTTTCTGTTATTTACGCAGGCCTGATTTTAACTAATACACCTTTACACTAGATTTTCAAAAAGACAACCTGCCCAATAGAAAAATCACTTGCTCTCATACACACACAAACATACATAGATGCATACACATATACATAATACACACATACACAGGCACATGCATAATTAGGCAATTCATGGAAGAGGAAATCCAAAGGGTTCATAAACATCTAAAGCATGTTTAATCTCAGCAGTAGTTAGAGAAATGCAATTAAAACAATATATTGCTTTTCAGAAATTTTGGCCAGGCTAATGATTTCATGCATCAGCCTGGCCAAAATTTCTGAAAAGCAATATATTCAGTACTGTTGGGCATTCAGGAAAATGATGATCCCTTTCTGATGCTGTTAATGTAAACTGCTATACATTTTTGGAAGGAAAATTGGCAATATCTATTAAATTTGAAATGACCTTACAATGTGAGCCAGCAAGCCAAAACAAATCTATGCCACAGAAAGTATTCAAGAGCATATGTCAAGAATTCTTGTTGCAACATTATTTGTCAGGTAAAAATCTGCAAAAAACCTGTGTTAATCCATCAGTAGTGGAATGTTTAGAGAAATCATGGCACGTAGTTACTATAAAATATTGCAGCTATTTTAAAAAGTACTCATTTTGGCCGGGCGCAGTGGCCCATGCCTGTAATCCCATCACTTTGGGAGGCTGAGGCTGGCAGATCACAAGGTCAGGAGATTGAGACCATCCTGGCTCATATGGTGAAACCCCATCTCTACTACAAAAAAAAAAAAAAATATATATATATATATATATATATGTATACAAAAAATTAGCAGGGCGTGGTGGCATGGGCCTGTAGCCCCAGCTACTCTAGAGGCTGAGGCAAGAGAATCGCTTGAACCTGGGAGGCGGAGGTTGCAGTGACCCTAGATCATGCCACTGCACTCCAGCCTGGGCAGCAGAGTGAGACTTTGTCTCAAAAAAAAAAAAAAGTACTAATTTTTATATGTAATTAGCCAGTCAACTTTGTATATGCGTATCTGAATAAATTTGTATGAACATACAACAAAGTGTGAAAAGAATCAACCCAGATTGTTAATATTGGTTGCCTGGGAGTTGGGATGGGAATGGAAAACTTTTTCTGTATACATCTTTGGATGGTTTTCCTGGTTACAGTGAGGATAAGCATGTGTTATTTTTGTCTTTTTGTTGTTGTTTGTTTTTGAGACGGAGTCTCACTCTGTTTGTTGCCCAAGCTGGAAGTACAGTGGCACACTCTCGGCTCACTGCAACCTCCACCCTCCGGGTTCAAGCGCTTCTCCTGCCTCAGCCTCCCAAGTAGCTGGGATTACAGGCACACACCACCGCATCCGGCTGATTTTTTTTTTTTTTTTTTTAGTAAAGATGGGGTTTCACCATGTTGACTAGGCTGGTCTTGAACTCCTGGCCTAAGGTGATCCACTCACCTTGGCATCTCAAAGTGCTGGGATTACAGGCATGAGGCACTGTGCCCAGCCAATTTTTGTAACTTTTACAATGATATTTAATTTAAAATTGATTTTAATAAAAGGTAGACATTGAAGAACACAGGATGATTAATGCACCTCAATGTTAGGTGAATATCTTTAAAACTGGTTATTGCCAAACATTAAATCCATATAACTGAAGCAAACTGCAACACCTATACAAAATAAAGGAAGAAAATAACTTATCCACTGAAATTTCACAATTAGTATTTGAACAATCAACTCAAAAGACACCCATGTGCTACTAAAATAAATAAATGCATGTTACTTCTTGCAATCTTCTGGGAAGGAGTTTAATACCAAGCCATTTCATGGAAAAAACAGGAGTTAAGAAATACGGAGAAAAGAATAATTATTCCTCATCAGGCGAGTCTGGCGATACTTAAATGTGTGTATGTAAGGGGGTGGCTGTTAATTAAGGTATAAAATCCACATGTGCCAATTGAAACTCAGGATCTTCCTGCCCCTCTTCAAATGTTCTTACGCTACCAAGACATGAGCGACACCTAGCCAGACCACTGAGGCACCTTTGCCTCCTCCCTCTCGCCTTCCTTTTTCCGTGAATGCTAAATCCTCCCACTCTTGGCTCTGGAAATCTTCTGCCCTCGCCCTCCCGCTAACCTTGCCACGTTTTGCCCGGCCTCGCTGCCAATATGCAAGCCTCCACTCCCAAAGAAGCCCAGACTGGGTTGCAGCGTCTTCGCAACCCTTCACACCCAGATCTTTCTGGCCTTCCGCCGACTTCTCCACCGTCGCACTCCGCCCAGTGCTACCAGGATTCTACTCACTCCCGAGGACCTCAGCGCTGCCCGGGCTGTGGCCTCAGATCCTCACAAGCCTCAGCTCCCTAGGCTGCGCCCACTCGCGGACGGAAGTGCCCCGGGGCCCAAAGGACGGGCCAGGGGCGGGGCCTCGTCTGGCCAATAGAAGCACAGAATCCAGGCTCAGCGGTCACGTGCCCAGCGGGCGGGAATTTAACCGCGGGAAGACCCGCAGGAGGCAATTTTACCTCAGGTAAGTCCGTGAGAGGCTGGAGGCAGGAGGGAGGGTGTTTTTGAGGGCTGAGGGGAAGAAAAGATAGTATAGAACTAAAGAAATATGGCAGCTCAGGAATCTCTGGAAAACACATTGGTGAGGCCTGGCCGATGTGACTCTGTAGGGACAAAACCCCAGACCCACGGTCCACTTAACCTAATTAGGTGAGAATAGAAGATGTGAAGGGCTCAGAGATACTGGTGGGATTTCAGCCCATCAACTAGAAGTTGTATGGGCTAAACGATAAGGGAAAATAGATGCACCTCGCCTCCTCTGCGATGTTACGTTTCTTTGTTTTAAGACAGTCTCTTTCTGTCGCCCAGGCTGGAGTGCAGTGGCGCGATCTCGGCTCACTGCAACCTGTGCCTCCTGGGTTCAAGCGATTCTCCCACCTCAGCCTCTGAGTAGCTGGGATTACTGGTGCCCACCACCACTCCCGGCCATATATATATATATATATATATATTTTTTTTTTTTTTTTTTTTTTTGAGACAGTCTTGCCTTGTCGCTCAGGCTGGCTTGCAGTGTTACGATCTCGGCTCACTGCTACCTCTGCTTCCCAGGTTCAAGTGATTCTCCTGCCTCAGCCTCCCAAGTAGCTGTAATTACAGGCCCGCTTTACCACGCCAGGCTAATTTTTATATTTTTAGTAGAGAGGGGGTTTCACCATGTTGGCCGAGGCTGCTCCCAAACTCCTGACCTCAGATGATCCGCCTGCCTCAGCCTCCCAAAGTGCTGGGATTACAGGGGTGAGCTGCCGTGCCTGGCCCTGGCAAATTTTTGTATAGAGAGGGTTTTGCTATGTTGCTCAGGATGGTCTCGAATTCCTAGCCTCAGGTGATCTGCCCGCCTCAGCCTCCCAAAGTGCTGGGATTAAAGGGGTGAGCTACCTCGCTGGGTGATCTTATGTTTTTGTAAGTGTGGTTTTTATGCGAGGGAGTGAAGAAGGCAGAAAGCTTCTGATGCCTTAGGCTGTTGGGGAGAAGTGGAAAGGCAAATTGAAGATTCACACTCACCTGCAAGTGCTTTTAAATAATCCTGGGGCCCGGCATGGCACAGTGGCTTGTGCCTGTAATCCCAGCACTTTGGGAGGCTGAGGCAGGAGGATTGCCTGAGCTCAGGAGCGCTAAATCAACCTGGCCAACATGATGAAACCCGTCTCTATTAAAAATACAAAAATTAGCCGGGCACAGTGGCACCCGCCTGTAATCCCAGCTACTTGGGAAGCTGAGACAGGAGAATAGCCTGAACCCAGGAGCAGGAGGTTGCAGTGAGCAGAGATCGCACCACTGCGCTCCAGCCTGGGAGACAGAGGGAGGCTCTGTCTCAAAAAATAAATAAGTAAATAAATAAAATAATAATAATCATCATCATCATCATCTTGGGAAAGCTGACTTCCCGGCCTTGTGCCTGACCTTATTATGGTGTGCATTTCCATTTTGGCCCAGTGGATGTCAGTCAGGAAGTAGCATCAGAGAAACAAAATCTTTAGAAATAGGTAAGGAAAAATATTCGAGAATTGTTGCAATTCAAAATCTGATAATTTTAAATTACCTTCTCTCTATCCATGATTTTGTTCATTTACCCCATATCTTTGGTTTTAGAAATAAGAGCAATCTATCTTTCTTGTATCCACCCACCACTATTAGATTGATTCGATATCTGTATTGCAATGAAATAAACTTAATAAATGGAATTCTCAATGCATATAATATATGGCATCTTATTTAAGTAGTACATATTTAGCATGAATTTCAGTGGTTGACTTCAATACAAAGGTAATTATTTCTTAAGGTAATTGGTGAGAGTGATAAATGTGAAGCCGATAGAAATACTAGGCTTCACAAGAAAAGTTAATATAAATGCTGACAATAAGCTGAATGGGTAAAGTCGGTAGAGTTGAGTTTGTTGTTATCTTTTTGAAATGGCTTTTAGAATGAGATAATCAGTTTTTTCTGAAAGCGCAACATCAAGAAATGGAATCCTAGAATCAGTATTTGCTTGAAAGATCAGTGATACACTGGATGGAAAAGACATAGAGGTTCCATGATTGGAAATATTCTCAGAGAAGTAACCATCAGTAAAATAATGCCATGTTGGTTTTGTTTAAGAGTGAAAGAGGGTGGCTACACTATATATTCTCCACACCACAGAATCTAAGAATATTAAAGACAATTCAGAGAACATATTTGGCTCATTTTAATGGGAAAACATTGTAATATCCAAAATTCTTCTGAGTCATTAATCAAATAATGTGCTCTGGATTGTTTTTGTTTTGTTTTATTTTTGGTTTTGTTTTTGAGTTAGAGTCTGGCTCTGTTGCCCAGGCTGGAGTGCCCAGGCACGATCTTGAGTCACTGCAACCTCCACCTCCCACGCTTAAGTGATTCTTGTGCCTCAGCCTCTCGGGTAGCAGAGACTACAGGTATACAACACCATGCCCAGATAATTTTTGTATTTTTAGTAGAGATGGGGTTTCGTCATGTTGACCAAGCTGGTCTCAAACTCTTGACCTCAAGTGATCTTCCACCTTGGCCTCCCAAAGTGCTGGGATTACAGGTGTGAGCCAACTCAGCTGACCTGGATTGTTTTAAGTTTGTTTTTAGTTTTTTTCTGAAAGCTTTCATTTTTTTTTAAATTTATTTTTTTAAGACGGGGTCTCACCATGTTGGTCAGGCTGGTCTTGAACTCCCGACCTCAGGTGATCTGCCCGCCTTGGCCTCCAAAGTGCTTGGATTATAGGCATGAGCCACCATGCCTGGCCAATTTTTTTCTGAAAGTTTTTAAAAGTTTTACTTTAAGTTTTACACAGAAGTTACTCTGTCCTAGAGTAACTTCAAAGTTATAATTCCTTGAGTTCTCAAGTAAATGAGAACCATCCTGGACTTTTTCAGCATTCTAAATTTTACCTATTGCTTCATTAGATGGATTTGTTGATTTACCAATATGCCATTGTTATTTTCCTCCAAATAAGTTAGCTATTAGAAAATTCTAACTTTAGGCTTCTTATTTTCTAAGTAAGAGAATGGAAACGGTTTTGCAAATTGTTTCCCAATTTCCCAAATCCCCACTGTTCCAGCACAGAATTCTGCCTTTGGTTACCCAATTTCAAGACCACTTGCAAAATATGGTTAGTCTGGGAACACTACTCTGGCAATCTTGTGAATTTCAACCTCTTTTGCAACAAAATGATCACATTAAATATATTTTCACCAACCAACTAATAGCTATATGCGTTTAAACAATATGAAAAATATTCAATTTTATATCAATATACATTATTTTCATACTAGATTTAAAATTATAGTAAAGTATATTATTTTTACCAATGATTACCATTTAGAGCCTTTTTAAAAGTGAGTAAATCAAAGTTTTGTGATTAAGAGAGATTTTCTGCACTTGACTTGCTATTTTACCAATGCTAATTTTAATTTTTATATTTCCAGATGTTGAAATTTACACTGCTTTAAAAGAAAGAAGATATGTTTTCAGCATTCAAATATCATGCAATAGACTATTTATGTGAGGTAGAGTGTTAGTGGCTTACTGCCTATTTACTAAGAATTATGATGGGAAAAGTGTTAACTACATTCAATATAGGTTGAGTATCCCTTATCTGAAATGCTTAGGACCAGAAGAGTTTCAGATTTCTGATTTTTTTTTCAGATTTTGGAATATTCTTATATATATAATGAGATATCTTGGAGATGGGACCCAAGTGTAAACACAAAATTTATTTATATTTTATATACACCTTATCCACATAGATTGAAGGTAATTTTATATGATATTTTGTGCATGAAACAAAATTTGTTCACATTGAACCAACCATCAAAAAGCAAAAGTGCCAGTATCTTCGCCACCCAGGTGACATCATATTGGCACTCAAAAAGTTTTGGATTTTGGATTTCAAATTTTTGGATTAGAGATGCTCAACTTATGTATAATAATTTTTCAGTAATCCTTAGATTCTTTATTAGTCTAATTATTTTAGATTTATTTAAAATTATTTTCCACATTTAATATATCTTTAAAATGCCACTTTTGGAAGTAAATTATTAAATTAAAATAATCAAAAAATTAAAATCAAACAATTAAAATGAATCTGAAGCTTTCAGGAGACATGGAAACTCTTGGCAAGTTTGGGGTGATTTTGCTAACAATCTGAAGCGATCTTTCTTGAAAGGAGTGGAGAAAAAAGAATCTCAGTTATCTTTAGAAGATAATACTGATAGCATACATTGACCACTTTCTATGGGACAGATACTTTGCCCCTCTGGATTATATTAGAGTGGTGCAAAAGTAACTGCCATTAATTTACTATTAGTTAATTAAAAGTAATGGAAAAAAATACAATTAGTTTTACACTATTCTGCTATCATTTTATTATCATAAGTACTTCGTGAGACAGATACTATTATTTTACAAGTTTTACATTTTACAGGTTAGAAAACTAGTTTCCAGAGAAGTTAAATAGCTTTTATAATTGTCAGAGCTAAGTTTTGAGCCAAGGCACATTGTTAGGAAACTAATTAGAATAACCATCATATAACAGTCTGTTGTTCTTATGATTTTAGTTGAAAAGTTAAATGTTTTTCTTTGTAACACTGACCCCATTTACCAAGGAAAAAAATTACTCCAGTATAACAAAACTGTGTGACATTTTACAGGAAATGAGAAAAACATTCAGGCATCTTCTGGTTTTATTATTCCCTCATAAGTGAGAGAAGCAAATGTGTAGTTAAGAGAGATGCATCATAGGAGTCAAAAGTCATCATAACAAAATACACTTATGAATATATTGGCCACTTGCAAAACTAGTCTGTATTCAAACATCCTCAAACTTTTTTTTGCCCATGGTATTTTAGTTTCTACTGGTATATGACACTCCATGATATAATACAAATATGGTACAAATCAGTGGCAAATCTTGCAAAAGATGCAAGACTTTGTTAAGTTCATGAAAACAGTATTGAGGAACCGCTCAGATAATAAGTAAAGATATTATGAAGATCATGCAAAATTAGATCAGTTGACAGACAAGAGAAAGAGAATGGCTTGAATATCAAAGGAGTCAGAGATGCCTTGGGAAAATCTTCAAATATTCTCTAAAAACATCTGTTTCATGATCAAAGGTGAGGTAATGAATAGTATCATGCATATCATCGTATAATACAGATTGTGGGAAAATTATGGCAAAAAGTAATAATTTATAAGCTAATTATAACTGAAATCTTGTTATAAAACTTTTTATAACTTTCATATTTTAGATAAAATACTAATCAAACTTTTTTTCCTATTTACTGTGAATCTTTTAGTTGATATAAAATTACCTTAAGTGATCTTTTTCTCTTTATCACTTAATCTTGGATAATGACTTCTTATTTAATATGTTGTAACACCTTCAGCGAACATCAAAAAGTCTTGTGAAATAATGCAAGAAACTAACATTTGTCCGAATACATAAAATAATGAATTCTGTGGAAAATTAGAGTCACTAAGGAAAGACTTCATAGAAGAGATATTGCTTAAGATGGGCCTTGAAAGATGAATAGGATCTCTATAGAGAAGAATAGCAGGGCATTTTTAGAGGTACAGTGAAGACCATGGTGTTAACCAGGAAGTGACCACTGAATGTTAAGGGAGGTGGTGAAGAGACTAGTCTATTTAGAGAGAATAGTTAGAGTAATGAAAGATAAAGTTCAAAAGCAAAGGCAGAGCCTAATTTAAAGAGAACACTGACTCATTTATGGACTTATTAGCTGATTTAACATTCCTTTAAATAAACAGTTTCCTTTTATATAGTTAGATAGATGCTCTGTTGCCAGACTAGAGTGCAGTGGTAAGATCTTGGTTTACTGGAATCTCCATCTCCTGGGTTCAAGCGATTCTCCTGCCTCAGGCTCCCAAGTAACTGGGATTACAGGCAAGTGTCACCATGCCCAGCTAATTTTTGTATTTTTAGTAGAGACAGGGTTTCACCATGTTGTCCAGGATGGTCTCAAACTCCTGACCTCATGATCTGCCCACCTCAGCCTCCCAAAGTGCCAGAATTACAGATGCAAGCCACTGCGTCTGGCCTATTAGATATATTTTTAAAAATTAGAAATGAATTTGCTGGTTGTAATAAAAGAAACAATGCAAAGATAAAATGAAAGTTAAGACATCCACATTGTACTGTTTAGTGAAAAAAGCACATTGCTAAGTATATGTAAATGATGTGATTCTGTTTTTTGTCAAGTACTTACACATGCATTTTAGCTTAAGCTAGAAAAAATATCTGCAGGAGGATACATCAAACTACTACTGATATTACAAGGGGCCTTGACTTTCTTAGTTATGTGGTTCTGTGTATCTGATACAGGCATACCTCAGCAACAGCAAATATCACAATAAAGTCAGTCACACAAATTTTTTGATTTCCCAGTGCATATAAAAGTTATGTTTATACTTGGAAGGCCGAAGCAGGCAAATCACAGGTCACGAGTTTGAGACCAGTCTGGTCAACATGGTGAAACCCTGTCTCTACTAAAATACAAAAATCAGCTGGGCATGGCAGTGGGCATCTGTAATCCCAGCTGTTCAGGAGAATGAGGCAGGAGAATAGCTTGAACCCAGGAAGCGGAGGTTGCAGTGAGCCAAGATTGCACCATTGTGCCAGCCTGGGTGACAAGAGAGAGACTCCATCTCAAAAAAAAAAGTTATATTTATACTATACTATAGCCCATTAAGTACAATAGCAATATGTCTTTAAAAAGATATACCTTAATTTAAAAATTACCATGGATATACCTTAATTAAAAAATACTTTATTGCTAAAAAATGATAAGAATTACCTGAGTCTTTAGTGAGTCATAATCCTTTTGCTGGTGGAGTGTCTTGCCTTGATGTTGATGGCTGCTGACTGATCAGAGTCGTGGCTGTGGCAATTTCTTAAGGCAACAATGAAGTTTGCTACATCGATTGAGTCTTTGATTCACCAAAGATTTCTGTAGCATGCGATACTGTTTGATAGCATTTTACTCACAGGACTTCTTTGAAAATTAGACTCAATCCTCTAAAACTCTGCTGTTGCTTTATCAACTAAGTTTATGGAATATTCTGAATACTTTGTTGTCATTTTAACAATGTTTACAATATCTTCACCAGGAGTAGATTCCATTTCAAGAAACCTCTTGCTTTGCTCATCCATAAGAAGCAACTCCTCATCTGTTCAAGTTTTGTCATGAGATTGCAGCAATTCAACCACACCTTCAGCATCCATTTTAAATTCAAATTCTCTTGCTATTTCTATCGCATCTATAGCTATGTACTTCCTCCACTGAAGTCTTGAATTCCTGAAACTCATCCATGCAGATTGGAATCAACTTCTTTCAAACTTCTGTTCACGTTGATATTTTGGCCTCCTCTGATGATCACAAATATTCTTAATGGCATCCAGAATCATTCGCCTTTCTCAAAGGACTTTGCCTAGATCTATCAGAGGAATCACCATCTGTGGCAGCTATATCCTTACAAAATATATTTATTTCCATAAGACCTTAAAGTTGAAATGACTCCTTGATCTATAGGCTGCAGAAAAGATATTGCATTAGCAGGTGTAAAAATATTAATCTCCTTGTACATCTCCATCAGAGCTCTTGGGTGGCCAGGTACATTGTCACCGAGCAGTAGTATTTTGAAAGTAATCCTTTTTTTTCTTTCTGAGCAGTAGGTCTCAACAATGGGCTTAAAATATTCAGTAAACCATGTTGTAAATACATATGCCATCATCCAGGCTTTATTCCATTTACAGAGCATGGACTGGGCAGATTTAGTATTCTTCAGGGCCCTGGGATTTTCAGTATGGTAAATAAGAATTAGCTTCGACTTAAAATCACCAGCTGCATTAGCTTCTAGCAAGAGTCAGCTTGTCCTTTGAAGCTTTGAACCCAGGCATTGACTTCTCTCTAGCTATGAAAGTCCTTGTTGGCATCTTCTTCTAACAGAGGCTGTTTTTTCAGAACACATACAACATTTATCAGTTAATTTGCTGTCTTATATGGTGCAGTTTATGCCACCCACAAACAATTACAATGGTAACTAACATCAAAGACCACTGATCACAGATCATCATAACAGATAGAATAATAATGGAAAAGTTTCAAATGTTGGGACAGTTACCAAAATGTGACACAGGAAGTGAACACATGCTTTTGGAAAAATGGCACAGATAGATTTGCTCAACACAGAATTGCACAAAAGCTTCAATTTATAAAACAAAAATATCTGCAGAGCACAATAGAATGAAGCACAATAAAGTAAAGCTGTGCCTGTTTTTTATAAGGAGCATGTATTACTTTTAAAGAAAAATCATATAAGTTTGAAAGTATAGAGAATTTTAATATATTCTGAATATTGACAGATACATAGTAAATGTTAAAAGATTTCCTAATCTTTCTTCCACAGAATGTAGTTAGAAAGAAGTTTTGTAGAGATGCTTTATTGCTTCGAATCCCTTCATGTTTATATCAAGATGAAAGTTACCATATAGCAGTTATTGATGATAAATTTAGGAGGCCATGGACAAGAGGTATGTTTGTTTTCATTTCTTAAAAATGTGTTTAAAAAGCCATTTCAGAGTTCAGCACAGTCAATTATTAAGAATATGCAATGCTTTACTAATTAAAAACTCATTGTATCTGTTCATGTCAGGATTCCAAGAAGTTAACAACAATATTTTTATTATAGAATTTAGATAACTAAATAAGGAATTGGAAAGCGTATATTTGATATGAATAAACCAAATAGAAGTTATGTAGATGATGAAGACTTAAAATAGTCTAACATTGTAAACATTTGTTGTATTATAATGGAATTTTTCTTGACTATCTGAGGCCTACTTTAAGTTGTAATGGCACACTGAATATAAAATTATTTTTAAGTATATATGTATAAAATAGTTTTTTGTTTATATCAAGTCATGGACAAGAAAAGAAGTAGCCTTCTTGAGAAGTCAAGTCAGTTAACAGCATTTATTTGGTATATATCACTTACCAAACACTGTTATAAGTACTAAGGACACAGTTACTTAAAAGACATAGAAGTAGTCTCTGCCCTCAGTGGGTTTTAGACTGGTAAAGAGGATACAGCAATAAAACCATTAAATATATAAACCAGTATCTGATATTGCTAAATATATAGAGAAGAGACAGTAATGCTAAGTGATAAGAAATTTCGGGAGCAGGGAGTGCTACTTCCTAAGATGGTTAGGGAAATGTCTCTCTGAAGAGGAGGACATTTGAGTTGAGACCTGAATGACGAGAAAGTGACAACCATGAAAAATATAGGGAAAAGCCTTTCAAGCAAACACAAAGTTCCTAACTCAAGAATGAACTTGATGTGTGTAAGGACCAGAAAATTAAGCTATTGGGACTGGGTAATGAAAAAGGGAGTGAGAAGTAGGCAATTTCTGAATAAGGATTTGTAGGTCATAACAGGGAATTTATTTATTTATTTATTTTTATTATGGCTACAATAAACTGAATGTTTGTGTCCCTCAAAATTTATATTTGTAGGAGGGGCCTTTGGGAGGTAATTAGGACATGAAGATGGAGTCCTCATGAAAGGGATTGCTACCCTTATAAAACAGACCCCAAGAAGCTCCCTTGACCTTTCTGCCATGTGAGTCTAGCAAGAAGACAGCCACCTATGAACCAGGAAGTAGGCCCTCACTAGACACTGAATCTTCTGGTGCCTTGATCTTGGACTTCCCAGATTCCAAAGCTATGAGAAATGAGTTTGTTGTTTGAGCCACCCAGTCTATGGTATTTTTGTTATAGCAGCCTAGACTGGTTAACACAATTGTGTACATGGGAAGTCACTGGACAATTTTAAGAAAGAGAATGATACAACCTGATTTATGCTGTAGAAAGATAGTTGTAATTGTCTGGAGGATAGAAAGCGGGGCTTGGGGATTAGGAGTCAAGAGTAGAGACAGGGAAATCTATCAGGGAACTATTGTAGTAGCCCAGAATCTTGGCTCTGGATAAAAGATTATAGTGTCTTGGACAAGGCTTATAGTAATGGAAATGCTAGATGTGCTTAAAATTGAGCTTATTTTAGAAATTGTCAACAGTGAGGGGATTACAAAATAGAAGAACAAAGAAATTCTTCTAGGTTTTTGACTAGAGAAACTGAGTAGATGACAGTACCATTTCCTAAAATAGGAAAAGGCTTATAGAGAAGCCAATTTGTGGTCAGAGTCAATAGCTCTGCTTTGGCCAGATTATTAGGCATCTAAATGGAATCATTAAGAAGGCAATTGGTTATATTAATTTTGAGCACAAGCTGCTCAGGACAGTTCTCTGGATAGACTTGGCCTCCTTTTCTCACTTGAAGTTCTTAAGAATAACTATAAAATGTGCTAGGAATGCAACATTCTGAGATAGAGAGAGAACTGACCAGAACAGCCTAGGCTCTTGCCAGTCTTCACCTACCACGGAAACAGGATGTCCTTCAATGCTTTAGCCCAGCGTGTCCTTTGACCTCAAAATATCAAACCCAGGTGGACTGCTTTCTGGGGTTCTTCAGCTGCTGTGCAAGTGTGACACATGAAGACTTCATCTGCCCCAGGCAGCTTTCCTAAGCCTTAGAGGACCAGTTCACAATGAATCCTAGGCTTCTGTTGTCCCTTGTTATCTATCTGTAAGTAATAAATCCACTTCATGTAACTTCCTGTATATGGGTGTTCTGTCTCACCCATACTCAGACAAGTTGGTAATCAGTGCACAGCTAACCTGCTTCACAAGCTGGAGTTTCAAATTGGAGTTTTCAATATGCAAAATTACACATAAAGCTGTGAAACCAGATGAAGTCACTGAGAGCATGAGTATAAATAGATTAGAAGGCCTAGGACAGAGCCTTGGAACACTCCAATAAAAGTCTGTTGTAAAAGGAGTTACCTAAGAAGCAAGATAGGAAAATCAAATTATTCTGGTGTTGTAGAATTCTAAAGAAGAAAGTACTTCAAGAAGGAAGTAATAGTCCAATGCATTGGGCTCCTGTTAAAACGTCAAGTTATCTGAGGATAATGAGTTGACCATTAGCTTGACTAAATGTAGGTCATTGATAACTTTGATAAGAGTGGTTTCCCTGGAATATTGGTTATTAATATGATTGGAATATGATTGGAGTATGTTGAGAAGATAATGGGAAGTGGGAAATGAGAGTGAATTTGACTATTTTGGAGAATTTTGCTATGAAGGAAAATTTTTAAATGATGCACTAACTTATGGGAGAAGTAAAGAGTTCTTTTCTGTTTTTGTTTTTGATGTGTGGTTTTTTTTTTGTTTTAAAAAATCTAAATTTATTGTAACATTGATCTAAACAAGCATAATTTCAAAAAAAGTTATTGTCAGATTACATTTAGTTGATATCTATACATAAATATTAATAATAAACAGAGCTTTCTAGAAATTAATCTTAAGAGAAGCTTTATTATTAGCTTTCTTTTCTTTTTTTTTCCCATTTATTTTATTGCATTTTAGGTTTTGGGGTACATGTGAAGAACGTGGAAGATTGTTGCATAGGTACACACATGGCAGTGTGATTTGCTGCCTTCCTCCCCATCACCTATATCTGGCATTTCTCCCCATGCTATCTCTCCCCAACTCCCCACCCCCCGCTGTCCCTCCCCTATTTCCCCCCAACAGACCCCAATGTGTGATGCTCCCCTCCCTGTGTCTCTGTGGTCAAGAAAGCCAGTTTTATTAGGGGGTATACTATTATCATCTGTCAATGTTGGGTGGCCATTTGAAATTTATGGTTGTTATTTGGAATGAGTTCCTTTAGCATGGCTGGGTGACTTTTTTTCCAGTAATTGTCAACTGTTTTAGCGTACATACACAGCAAGTGTAGAGTAGGGGTTGTCCTAAGTTGGTATAAGAGAAAGAGAGGCAAGGGAATCAGGAGTCTTTGAAAGCAATGGTTATGGGACTGACTATGGAACCTAAACTGTTCTAAGCAATTCGCATGCCACTTCACATTTAATCTTACCGCAACACTCTGAAAAGGCTATTCTTCCTAGTTTATACATTTAAAAAATTGAGGTGCAAAAAGGTTAAGCTATTTACCCAAGATTACATAGTTAATAAGTAGCAGTACAA